GTGTGTGTGTGTGTGTGTGTGTGTGTGTGTGTGTGTGTGTGTGTGAGCGTGAGTTTGTGTGTGTGTGTGTGTATGTAAAATATTTGGTTATTATTTTGTCTTGTGGACTATATTAGTGTCCCTGCAGCACAAAAGCAGAGTTAAGTCGCTGGGGGATATTTGTAGCAATAGCCAACAATACATTGTATGGGTCAAAATTATACATTTCTCTTTTATGCCAAAAATCATTAGGATATTAAGTAAAGATCATGTTCCATGAAGATATTTAGTAAATCTCCTACCGTAAATATATCAAAACTTAATGTTTGATTAGTAATATGCATTGCTAAGAACTTCATTTGGACAACTTTAAAGATGATTTTCTCAATATTTAGATTTTTTTGCTCCCTCAGATTCCAGATTTTCAAATAGTTGTATCTCAGCCAAATATTGTCAGATCCTAACAAACCATACATCAATGGAAAGCTTATTTATTCAGCTTTCAGATGATGTATAAATCTCAATTTTAAAAAATGGACCCTTATGACTGGTTTTGTGCTCCAGGGTCACATTTGAACATTTGTTCTATGGGGAAAAAAAGATTCAATTCAAATTAAATCAAATGATTAACATACATATTCTTCAAGGTGTGTGTAATCTTATGACCTCACCTCAACTATGCAATTAAAGGTTAATATAATGAGCTGTGCTGCTTATCGAAATAAGCAACATCAACAGGGCATTGGTGACATTACACGGAAATGCTGAGACTTTTGATTTTGACTTTTTTTTTTAATGGTTGTAATTTAGTTTGAAATCATAATGAATTCTACTTATTATGCAAAGTGTGTGAGAGACCAGAGCCGTATCTGCAGACCAGAGCATCACAGAGACTGGAAGGAAAAGTCATTAACATCTAGTTTGATCTGCTTTTGTTCTGATGGCATTAATGCAGTTTTTACTGCAGGTACAGTAGCAGTAACAGAAACAGAATAAATGCTATTGAACTCATCAGCTCCTTTACAGGAGCAACTTTACAAACATGCAAAAATGCTTTCTCAACATGCTCCACACTGACTAAAACGACAGAATATGATTTCTTGCTGCTAATCCAATAAGCCTCCTTCAGAGCATCATAAAGACTGTCTGCTCTGCGGTTCATGAGGAGGACTGTGTCTACACCTCCAGCATCTGTTTGTCTCTCATAAGTGAAGGCTGCTGGGAAGCATTACAGAGATGTGCTGATTGGCTCATTCGCTTTGGCAGCGTCACCCTTTCCTAACAGAGCCGGGGGGGAATATTAAATCCTGCTGTTTGCTTATAAAAGCAGTTTTTAACACGCTGATAGCCAGAATAACAAGCACTTTTAATCACAGGCTGCTGTGGCGTCATAAACACACGACTGTAACGCTGTCACCTACAACACATGAAGACAGAGCTCAATCAAACTGACGCCTTCAGCCACGACTGACCTCACGGACATGACATTTACCAGCTTTTCATTTCACAGCAAAAGCACAAGATTACACTATCACACACACGGAAAAAAAAAACAGGAGAAATCAAGGAGGGAATCTGAGAAAACCAATAAAGACAAGATTTCTAAATAGATGAAAGCCTTGAAACGCAACAATGACCAAAGTAACAGCAATGACCATGTCTAATCATTAAAAAACATTGTGCAAAAACCTGACCGTGTGGCGGCACAATTATATTTCCTTATATCCACCAAACAATATACTTCCACTGAAGCTTCTATGGTGCCATTAAAATAAAGCATGTAACCTTCAGTCTGATTACAGATTAAGAATGCAAACGATGAAAGAGACATATTCAACATGAGGTGCTTTGTTATATTTCTATAACGCACAAGGGCAAAGAAACAGATGGATGATTTCTGGCTTCTGTGGCAGCATTTCCAGATGTGTGTTACACTGCATACATGTAAGAATTTGCATTATTCAGAAGAAAATGTGAGTGATTGTTTAGTCCCGATGTAAAAGATCCCAGATCTCTATCAACATAGAGAACAAATACACAGCATTCAAAACAGTGTATACATCAATAGTGATATTCTTAGGCCCTGTCCACACGAACACGGTTATTTTTAAAACCACAGCTTTGTCTACGCGGTTAGGCCGTTCGTCCACACGCAAACACAGCACCAGGTCACTGAAACCGAACATTTCTGAAAACTCCTGCCAGGGTGAAGATTTTCAGAAACTCTGGTTGCAGTGTTATCGTGTAGACAGCGAAACCGGAGTTTTTGGCTTGTGCCGTCGGAGCCTGCGCTGTTATCTCCGCCTACTGGAGACTTTTTCAGGCTTCTGATTGGCCAACATGGCTTTACGGTTGAGGTTATATCGCCACCTGACAGTGCTTCATAGCATGCGTTTGCGTTTTCATGTGGATGGAGATTTTTTTAAAAACGGAAGGAAATACAGTTTATAAAAATACCCGTGTATGTGTAGACGTGGCCTTAACGCAGAGCACTAATGCAGCCCATCTGACTGACAGCATAGCTCTCAAGAAGCAATTGCTTCACCTA